AATATCATGTATGATGTATGTGTGAAGTTTGATGGTGATTGGTCCAGGCATTTCTAAGATACAGGTCCGGACGCACGCACACACGCATGCACAATAGGACACACGGAGGTCAAAACATAAGTCCCCGTTTTCGGACTTCGTCCGAACGGGGACAAATAAACTGGATGGAATAAACAACAGTTTTCCTCCAGTTAGATACCTTAAACAAACAATATACAAAAAGTAACATTTCTTTTTTTTTTTGGTAATCTTTTCCATTTATTGTAGTATTTTTTTTACCATACATTACCCATAGATGGTAATTGTTGACTAAGAAAGTTATGATTATTATTATAAGGTTAAAGATTTTTTGAAGATTTGTCAATCTAAAATTTGTGGTTTCAAATGCACACATGATAAAATGTAGGGTGTGGATTCTATGCTTATTTAGACAGCACCCTGACAGCTTTAAATTATTTATATCAAACAAGCAGCTTATCGGCTGAGATAGCTCCGCTTTTAGCAATGCACATTTCAATTAAAGAACTGAAGACATCATTAGAAAATGAACAATATGTATAGTATCAAAGCAATCAGACTTGCAGTTTTTAACAAGAAGTCGAAAATATCACTTTTTACCAAAAATTACAAAAATATTCACCAAAATTAGAGAATTGAACATATCATCACGAAATAAACAAATCTGAGAAAGGTCTACATGTAGTATCTATATATGTAATATCAAAGCAATTGAAATTTTGTTTTTTAACAAGAAGTCGTAAATATCACTTATTACCAAAAATTATAAAAATATTCACCAAAATTAGAGAATTAAAGATATCATTACAAAATGAACAAATCTGAGAGAGGTCCACATGTAGTACCTATATATGTAATATCAAAGTAATTGAACTTGCGGTTTTTAACAAGAAGTCGAAAATATCACTTTTTACCAAAAATGACAAAAATATTCACCAAAATTAGAGAATTGAAGATATCAACATGAAATGAACAAATCTGAGAGAGGTCTACCCAAGGTACATATACACCAAGTATCAAAGCATTCAGGCTTGTAGTTTTCAAGAAGAAGTCGAAAAAGTAAAACATTCACACGGACGACGACGGACAATCACTCATATGATAAGCTCCGCTCGACAAAGTCGACAGCGGAGCTAATAAAAACTCATTTCCAGCTCAAAAGGATTAACACTTGAAGCAGTGTAGGCAATCTCATTATTCAGTGCAGGTCAGATATTTTACAAAAGGGCATCACACATCGTTTGTATTCCAATAAGTCATTATATTCTAGAGAAACAAGAATGGATAACAAACAAAAACAAATGAACACCAGCGGCCAATTTTTGTTTGAATGTAAAAAAAAAAATATGACATACACCTGTAAATGAATATCTCTGTTCATATATGAGAAACGGTTCCTGACACGGAATTTAGCAAATTTAAGGGCCAAAATGGTTGTCAGTTAGTAAATACATTAGGCAGAAATTCGCATGTAGTGTCTCTTCTGAAGCAGACCTTAAAAAATCTCCTCACCTGTGTGTGAGTGACTCTCTATCAGCTCTATATTTTTTATATTAAGTTTTGAAGTTTCTGAATCTAACACTGTAAAGTACTTTATTACCGCTTGGAATTAAATAAAATAAAATACAGCGAATATACGTTTTTTTCTATATTTCACATTCAACTTGTCAGAAATCAGTAAAAATAACACCCATAAACACTTTTCAGTGAAAATTAATTCCAGCTAAAATAAAGTATTCTACAGTACAGTACAGTATTCTACAGTACAGTACAGTATTCTACAGTACAGTACAGTATTCTACAGTACAGTACAGTATTCTACAGTACAGTACAGTATTCTACAGTACAGTACAATATTCTACAGTACAGTACAGTATTCTACACTAATCTCACAAGCACGTATATAATTTACTCACTGTTTCAAAAGCCCTCCTATACATTTCAACTTTTTCTTTTTTCAAAATACAAAACTGAGCCAACCAGCCATCTGTAAATAAAAAGAAAATTGGGCATATAACAGAGGAACATAGGTTATGGGTGTTATCTTTTTTCTAGGACGGGTTACTATGGTTACTACAAATATGAGTTTTAAACAGACAATTTACAAATACAGCTGAATGTCATCTTTATTGACAAAATGTACAATGTTAGAATAGCATTTTTTGTGACACATTGGGTTATGCGTATAGACAGTTTATATGTATACTGTAAAAATACTTTATTTTCACTGGAATTAATTTTTGCTGAAAAGACCTTTTAGGTGTTTTGTATGGAAGTTATTTTCACAGATTCTTGGCAAGTTGAATGTAAAATATAGAAAAAAAAAATATTCGCTGGATTTTATTTTCACTGAATCATTCCTTCAGCGAAAATAGCGAAAATTAATTCCAAGCGAAAATAAAGTATTTTACAGTATTACATGACATCTCTATGAGGCAACAGTCTATGTAAAACTGCAGCAAATAATCTTTCAGATGATTCTGGTTACCATGGAAATAACATACATTGCCACACACTTAGTAATGTACCATCAAATCTTACCTATTAACACATTGCCTGCTAATGCCTTTATAACTCATATCAGATATCCATGAAGGCTCTCAGCAGACGATGTAATAAAGGGTTGTGGTAAATGTAAACACATATTAACTGTTTAATATGGTCCCATACAATGTAAACAATCCATTATAATAGATCCTTTTTTTACATGAATTTTGAATGTATGCTTTATGATTATTTCATTCATGACAATACTCACAATCTTTAAACGCGACTTCTGTTTTCGGCGGCGGTGGAATTGGCTTCTTTCGTCTCCTCATTTTATCATACATAAGTTTGGATCGATTTTTGTTCCAAGTAACTTTCTTTCGTTTTGGTTCCTCCTCAGGTTCTGATACAGGTGGCGACGGTGATGGCGGGGGACTTTCAATTTTTGGCAAATCCATTGTTTTTTTGACTGGTTCTTTAAACCTAACTTTAGGTTTCTCAACTATAATAAAATAAGAAATTTAGAATATGTTATGATCTATTATTTTACATCTGTCACTGTAATGCCAGCAGTTACAGTGTGCCGTAATTTTGCGGTATTTACGGGGTATTTTCATCCTACCATATTAGAAAATGCGCATTTTAAATATGGAATGATTACGAGTGTAAGTGTCCTCTAATGATAAAAACAAACATGGCTGCCCCCAGGGTTTGACCGGACCCCATACAAAGAAGTTCGCTCAATCTGTTCTCAGCGTTTTGGATTTCGGCATTTCCAATATGTATCCCTGGGGGGAAAAGATGTATAATAATAAGGTTAATACGAGGATTCTGCAAGGTATGCACTCAGACAGTACACGGTCACATCAACCTTCGTTGCACGTCAGTTGATACTCCCTCTGTACTGTCCTTGTGCATACTTTTCGGTATCCTTGTAATAACCTCATATTATATTATACCAGCATTTCAATTACCTGAATGCATGATTCTGATTTGATGAGTCGTGTTTTCAATTATGCAAGCCATAGTTAATTAGATGATATACCACATTTTTTCATGTTTAGAAGTACTGAAAAGGGGTTAATTATTCACTGGGTTTTAATTTTGCTGACTGGCTGAATAATGCGCTAAATTAAATATTTAAAATTT